ACATTCGACAGCAAATGGCTGAATTTAATAACATTACAATATTAAAACATATAAATACATAAAAAAGGGGCATTGATATTGAATGCTTTGCAAAATTAAAAATTGAGGTGTTATTATTTCTGTCAAAAAAAAAAATTCTAAATATAAAAAAAAAAAATCCTTAATTACACATTATTCATTAATACAATTCCCATATAAAAATATATAAATCCTTAACTAATTTTACATTTTATATTATATCAAAGCATTAAGTTTAATTTAATGGGGCTCCAGACTTTAGTCATGGTGACTTTTGGGGCAAAAGGCAATTGTTTGATCAGATCTCCTGGAAGCAGCCTTCAACTTACCCCTGAACATTTGTATATCACTGCAAAAAAAAATCTGTAAAAGGAACTTAATAATATGACTTCCAATGGTTGTGAAAAATGAAAACCCACCAAGGCTACTTTTGGGGGCCCAAGGCACATGTCTGAATAAACAATGAAATTAAGTGGCTCAGGATCCAATGTTTTATATCTCAAAGTAGCGATCTGCCAAATTGTGTCTGAGTATTAAAGTTTACTCTCAATTTAACATGCTGACTGCCAGACCCTTTTTTAGTATTAGGTTCCTTACCGTGTAACAAAACAAGTTGACATGTACAAACATACTTTTTAAAATTTACCTAGTCGTCATGAAAACAATGTTTCTATTATAAATTGGCGGGAAAATATTAGGGAACAACGAGTAAACTCGTCGGTGGCACTGTGACAGCACTTTTTATTGACTATGCCAAGGGCGAGTTTTCTCGTCTGCTTTTTGCATAGGTTGGTATACATTCAAAGGGGGGGCCCCCACTTGTGCCGCTGAAGTGTAATACCGGCAACATACACAACAAACATACGTCATTTGTACGTTATTGTCTAGGTGCATTTTCCAAGAACTGCCAGTCTGTGGCTCTACAATGTATAACAATGAAGTAATAAACGCTACAATGTTACCCCAATTTTGACGAATATAGTCATCCCTGGCAGCCAACATGTTAAGGGCCAAAGTCAGATTTATGTATCATTACCAGAATATGTTCAAAAGTAGGTCTTTGCTGACCTTTGTACTTCAATACGACCTTTCACGACATTTCATTCAGGAAGTTCACATGTTTCTTTTCACCTTGAGCTTTTGTTTCGCTCCACTTTTGTAATGTGTTTTTTTTTTCATTTTTTTTTTAAACTACCTCATTGGAAACAAATCCGTAAAGAGACGAAATGGCATTTCCTTTATATCTTTTGTTAATACTTTAATTCTCTTCTAGATTATTGGCTACGTGCTTTCCTTGATCTTTGACCCCATTATTTTTAATATAATGAATATCAATTTCGTACTAAAATTGCTTGTTGAATTTTAGATTGATAATAACTTTTTATTGTCTTGTTGTATTGATAGTAGAATTTATCAATTTTTAACTTGAACCCGGTTACCCCCACCCCACTAACCAGTTTTTCAATTCAAGTCGAAGTCAAGGAATGACCTTAAACCACATGTTATTGCTATCAAAGTTTTTGGTACCTACAGGTGTGTCTACAGTAATCCCTTGAGGCTGTTCAGTAGCTCATGATCCAGTCACAACTCTCATATTAGTGATTTCAATATAAAGACCATTATCAAAAGTTGACTATATAAAAAGTGAATATCATCAATAGTAAGTAGAAGTGGCGCTAGCCCTTCCCAGATGGGAAGGGTAGGGGCTAGTAGGCCTACCTCCAATGGAGGAGGGGGTACAGTGGCAAGCAGAAATCTTTGGCTTTCATATATTAGGAATGTTCAACAGTGGCGTAAAATATACTGCCAGTGATGAGCAATGGTGGCTGTAGGATATATTATCTGAAGGGTGCTATATAAAGCTGTCCAGCAGAGGGGGTTGAGCTCCTATGGCTGAGCAGAGAGAAGTGTTTGGAAGGGATGTCTAACCCAATTTTTGTATGAATAGGGACCTCTGGATGGCCGAAAATCGCACTCTCAGACTGTGACAGACGTGTTGGTTTGGCGTAGGCCCATTTTTTTTTTTGGTCCGACTGCCCGACGTCTCTTATACACATCTAGATGTGTATAAGAGACAGGACCTGTCTAATGGCCGGGCTTAGGGCCTTCTTCCCCCGCTGGCACCACAACTAGTGATGCAGGCCCGTAGCATGGGGGGGGGGGTTTAAAGGGGTTACAACAACCCCCCCCCAAAAAAAAAAAACTGCATTTAAAAACGAAAAATTGATATTCGTAGATATATTTACAATGTCTCCAGATCATATCGGAGATCATACTGTACAAGCCAAAGAGTCCACTTTCCACTGAAACGAACCTCCCACAAATTAGGTCATGCTACGGGCCTGTGATGAACATGGTCAATAAGATTAATTTTGGAATGCTTTATAATTGTACTTGTACACTTTATCATTAGATAGGAAATTAAGAAAATATTTTTCGTACCAATTATTACAGGAAGTTTTGAATAAAAAAAACCTCTTATTAAAACAGTGACAGTTATGGTTTGGAATAGTAAACAGTATACTTTTGGATCACAATATTAGTAAAGTCTTAAATCACAATAACCTTGGTTGACACTAATTAATTGGCGTCAGATGATAGAAAGTCAAGCATGTCCGACAGAGAGAAATTTCCATTCCCGAAATCAGTCCTGGCACCACCACTAATATATAGTCATACTACTAGAAATTGCAAATTGCAAGTGAAGTGCTGCGAAGTAAAACTGCATAAAATGTTCTTCGAACAAAATTATTTATGCGAGTCAAGTGAAAATAATGAATAATAAAAATATAACAAATAATATGAGACAAGACCCATTGTCCATATTAGAACAGCGTTGGTACCGTGTACAATAGTGTTTTGCAGCAGAGACATCTCGCTGCTGGTGATGACTCGCTGCTGGCGAATCGATCTGCGCATGTGTATAAAATGGTATTTATTTCCAAAAACAGTATGCCAGTCTACAAGCGTCGCCTAAATGTAATAATTAGCACGTTGAAATAGGCTAGTAAATAAGTTTAACTGGGTTCGTAAATAATATTGGCCTCAAAATATTGTGGCTGAGACATGAACAGATTAAACGTAGAAATAGGAAACCTAGAAATATAGTCAAAACGCTGAATAGTACTCCAGCGTCGCGACATGCGGACGTTGGTACGAGTAGGTTAGTCTACAAACGTCGCCTAAATTAATTGATTTTACCCGGCAGAACGAAAGAAGGAAACTCCGCTTTTCCGTTGTCTTAGGCGCAGGTTTTTTGACAAACAATGACCTTTCAGAGGTCAAATTGCTGTCAAGAATATGAATTGGCTGCTTTGCAGCAAATATTTGTATCACTGTAGGTAGGATACTTTTTGCTGCAGAAACCAAAAAGCATTCAATATTTGGTTATTGATTTCATTGATCGTCAGAATTCCACAGCATCCACAATATTGGAATGTGTCGTACACATTATGGATTGGTGATTTTAAATTTAAAGCAGTGTACGATCCAGGAATTTGAATTGGGGGGGGGGGTGGGGCCCTGGAAAAATAATTTTACAGTTTCGGGAAGGGTCAATACTACCTCTGCCACACCATTGCTGGGTTAGTACAATATTTTATGTCTATGACACTTATAGAAGCCCAGATATGACCCTAATTAGAGAGCTGTTTATTTTTAGCAACAATAAACAACAAGTTAAAGAATAGGCTTTGCATTTTCAACTTTACGCCGATCCCAATTTCTGATCTAATCAATTGGAAGAGTTTGAATTCTGCCAAAATTTGGAGCCAATACATTCATATTTTGTGAGCATTTTTTTTTTGCAAAGTTGTTTTTATGCAGTTAAAATAAATGATGCGACAAAAAAATAAATAAATAAATAAAATTATTCCCCCGTCAATATTTCCAAAATTTTTTATGCAGGCAGGGGTGACAATCTAATAAATTTTTCTATTTGCTCTAAATACAGTATATGGTCATATTGTGATATATACCGATGACATGGCTTTAAGGTAATAAATGGTATGGATATTTAAAATGAATTTAAAAATTTAAGAAATTATTTACAATTATATGTAAACTAAAATTAACTTTAATATAAAAGTCTGTACAAAAGTTTGATTCAACTTGGTATGCATTTTTGTATTGCCAGCATGTCTAATAATACTAAACAAAGAAATGTCTATAACCCTGAAGATATTGCTTTTTATACGTTGCTCGTTTTCACCTTTTGTTACGTACCCAGGCGCACCGACACAATGTTCCTTTGTTTTGTATTGTATACCTGTTACTGCAGAATGAATAAATTTAAAAAAAAAACTTACCAAAAGAGTTAGCTAGCAACTAAATGCAGGCTGATGTATTGTGAGGTGGTAAAAAAAAAAAGATTGTGAACAAATGTGATATATTAATAGTCTAGGTAGGAGTATGCCTACAGGCCTACACTTTCACAGACTGGATGTAGAAGGGTAAATAAACTGCAACAACCAGTCAAAATGACTGAACATTCATTTCATACAAATTAATAATAGGTTTGTTAGATTTCGTATTTATGCATTGACCTTTGACATAACACTTGACATTTGAGGCTTTTCATATTGAAAATTTGAACTATAATTTCAATAAGATTTGATAAAAAGACTCACTCTGGTATTTGGTTTCATTGCTTTCTCTACATTGGTTACCTCGCGGCAGTCTACAAAGTCAATCTCGATACCCATGTTACGTAGGACCTTCTGGAAGTAGCGATTAGAGCCGCCGTACAGGTCATTCATGCTGACCACGTGATCCCCTGCCTTTATTAAATGGCAAATCGACAGCATTGCTGACAGGCCAGAACTAAATGCAAATGCTGTTGAGAAGAAAACACTTGTATTTTAAAAACTGAACTGTTGTTGAGATAATTGATAAGATAGAGAACAAAGGTTTACGTTTAATTAAGGAAAGTGTTGCGCCATGCATTGTGGAAACTGACCATATTGTATGGTCATGATAATGTATCCACTTGGTATTTAAACAATCAATTATAAGCAATTAGAATAGATGCGTATCATACACTATGTGGAAATTATAGAGTTTTAAGGCCAGGTAAAAAAAAAAGTAGTTTCCCGTTCTAATATTTTGAAAAAAAAAAAAAGAATGAGTCACTTCTTTCTTTTTTTTTATTACGAGATGGCAAATCCAAGATGGTCGATGGGAAACAGTTACTACTTTCTCACTTTTACCAAGTAGACACATTGAAAGCAAATAAAAGAAGCACTAGACATGATCATACCATTATGTATCCCAAACAACGAAGGATGGAGAGAGGAATTTTACTGTTGTGTGTTAGCCAAGTTTTCGTACATTTCGTAAAATACAGGAAATTTTTTTAAAATAAAAACTTTGGTAATGCAGAGAAAATAGATGCACGAGGGGACAAGAAACTAGTAATATTTTTTATTTGGCCTTATAAGACAATTTTCACCATCACCATTTTTGGTGTATGCTGTGTGAAAGACTACTGCTTAAAATAGACCATATGGAAATAAAAATTCTTGTAAAGAAGTATACAATTTTATGGTTGAAATCTAAAAATTGTAGTTTTCCATATGTTACTAATCATTATAATCATCTTTATTATATCAAGATGCACCATATGATAATAACCAAACATTTTTGAAAATAGCTTATTAGAGTTCAGACCATATGGACACAGCATTCATTCAATATGCCAACAATTTTAAAGAGTGAAATTTTACAAATCATGTTTTATTGAAATAAAATCATGTTTTAGGTATAAAAATGTCAACAAAATAAAGATGTAAAATTATTTAAAAAGTTTTTTTAAATACACTTTTATTGCTTGATATTTTAACATACTTTTGAATGGGCATTTTTCAAAACTATTCTTATAAACCTACCACTGTATAATTGGATTAATTCTTAATATCCTCCTAAAAAAATGTTTTTTATTTTTTTCAGTATCCTTCCCATACCTTTATAAAATTTTATTTAAATATATTATTTTGATGGTGATTTACAAAGTGGAAAAGTGCCTTGTGCCTCAATTGTACTGCTGAACAGTGGTGGTGCAAGGGCCAAGTCTGGGAGATCACAACTCATGATGGAGGAACACAGCTGTATGTAATTTTACAGATTGTGAACTCTCAATTAAATAAGTCTTTAAAATCCCAAAAGTGTCCCCTGGACCCCCTGAGGTGTTCTGGGCTAACCCTGGCCAAGGGACTTTGTTTTTTTATCAAGGTAATCGGCTTTCCAGTCGGAAAATTTCAATTTATTTGAATGCGTTGTTATCTATACAGGGAATACAAGACATTCAAATATTTCAAATTTTTAAAAGAATGATAAAATGTATCATCAGTTGAAAAAAAGACCAGCATTAAAGCTTACCATACTTAGCATTATCCAATGATGCAACACATTCTTGAAGAACATCCCTGGTGGGGTTACCCCCTCTGCTGTAGTCATAACCCTGAGAAGGGAAAAGAGATGTGCATTTATTTATTGTGGGTGCCAAGTGTACTGTAATTGCTCAATGTTGGATTTCCCCTACCATGAAAAAAACCTTTATGACCATGTATTATAATTATCTTAGAATTTCGTTAATATGTACTGTAACCATCTCCAACAAGTCGTCTTCTCGGTCAGAATTTTTTTCCTCCATTTATGGGGGGTTTTTTTCATTATTCTTTATATTTATTTTGCTCGTAGGCATACGCGATTCTGTAGAGAAAGCTTAAAAAATCTTTGGCAGCTTGAAGGCGGCGCTTATTCAAGAGCGGCGCTTATAAAAACAAAGAAATGCTTGTGTCTTCATTTTGTTATTTATTCATTTAAATTACTGTATACATTGTATTTAAAACCCTATTTCATTACAAACAGGGTAATATTACTGTATATGGTTACTGGTGTACTCTCGATTAAGCGCTGCGGCGGTTAACGAAAAAAAATCATGTATGTTGCGGCGCTTGGTACATGCCAAATTGTAACAGTGTCTGGCCACTGATCACACTGTTACATTCAGCCACACAATTTTCCCATATGTGGTGAGTTAATAATTTCCTAATTCTTATTCGTTTACCAAAGCCCATCCCCATCTCAGCAAAAACTCCCAAGATATCTGAGGGTATTTCCTCAACGACTTGGATAATTCAATACCCAGAATAAAAAAAAATCCCCACATCAGGGTTTACACTTGTATTTTGGAAAATTTCCCAAGTGGAAAATCATGGAAATTGTTCCCAGTTATACAAAACCTCAATATTTCACTACTTCATCAAGATGATGGACACCAGAGAAGACCTCTACTCCCACTCTACAGTACCTAAGGTAGGAGAAATTTAGACCCACTGCTGCCTTTACCGGAAACAATCTACACCCAATTTGTTTACACTCTTCAAACTCTAATCTCTAAAATCATTTTATTAACATTTTCATTGTTTGTTTAATATTACAACATTCAAGGCTGGGCCTACAAAAACATAAACGTCAACACAAAAGCATGGGACAGATAGCAAAAAATGGGAACTCATGCTACGTATGCAAAAAAACAGACTTTTTGTTTTCGCAACTGTTGTAAAACAAACAACATATCAGGTAATATTGATAACATTATTCTATACTATGCCTACTATGCTAATGTTTATATTTGACAAACAACTTGTAACACTTGTGCATTGAAGTTCTACCATGACTTGGCAAAAACATGGAAACTCATGCCAGAGTAACTGACCAGAAACTGAAAATTAACACTCTACAGGTACAGCGAACAGATATCTAAAAAGAAATTTTATAAGATTTATACGTTAAAAAAAAAAACAATAATTACTGTATTTAGGTAATGTTTAGGCAAGACTTTTTATACCTCGTTTTTCAAACTTTAATTTTAAAGGTCGTCAGAAAAAGGCAGAAAAAAATAAAAATAACATTTTATTTTAAATCTTATTTAGATCAAATACCAGATGGAGGAGAAAACAAAAATAAAATTTTATTGGTGAATGTAAACAAGTTAGTAATTGGGATGGTTAAATACTTTAAATTTATATAATTAGGAAGAATACATCTTATTTTTGGAGATTAAGGCAGCAGTGGGCGTAATAAAAATAAAGAAAAAATTTTATTTTTTTCTGAAATTCCTAATTTTTTATGGTGGCAGGTATGCTAATTGGTCAAAAAATTAAATTCTATTTTTATTTTAAATCATTATTGGTGGGCGGCCGGTTTGCTTAGGGTACATAGAAAAAATTATTAGTATCACTTTATATTTTTTTAATGTGATAATTGCAGGCGGTTTTTTTTTTTTAATCGGAACAATAGGATATTGGAATGGTTAGTAGTTTGGATGGTTAAATACTTAAAATTATATAATTAGGAAGAATATATCTTATTTTTGGAAATTAAGGCAGCAGTGGGCTTAATAAAAATAAAGAAAAAACAAACATTTTTTCTGAAATTTCTAATTTTTCATGGTGGCGGGTTTCGCTAATTTGCCAAAAAATAAAATTTTATTTTCATTTTAAATCATTATTGGCTGACGGCCGGTTTGCTTAGGGCACATAGAAAAAATTATTAGTAATATCATTTTTTTTTTTAAGTGATAATCGCGGGCGGTTTTCTTTTTTTAATCGGAACAATAGAATATTACTTTCATTTTGTTGATGAAGGAGGTACTGTTTTAACTTGGCAAGAATATTTTTAATATTGTATATAAACTGGTTTAATTTTATTGTTTTTTTAAAGAAAATGTATTTCCAGTCACAACACTGCATTGTTATTTGAAGCTCTTGAATTAAATATACAGGTACAGTATGTAGTAAGTAAAAAAAAAATTATTCACGCATCAATATTTCCCAAATTTTTGATGCGGACGAGATCAATAATCTAACAATTTTTTTCTATGTGCCCTTTAATTATATACAAAGACTCATGACCATTGGCATGTCATGATGATGCAATAATTATCTGCAGTATCACCATGTGGAACAAGTTTAGACAAACACAGGCTGTCATTGCAAATTGTATTGAGTATTTAACTCTTCCCGTGGGCTTACATACGCCCCATGTGCCAGGAGCGCCGTATCAACTGGATGACAGCTCTCGCTAATAGGAGAGATGAATGATGAATGTGCACACACAAAACAGGCTAGGCTAGCTATGCCTACTACTAGCCTAGCTTTTAATTAATATTGGGCTAGTTTCCTCCTCTTCCTCCTGTTGTAGGACATCAGTAATTCCAGCCCGGAAGTCCGGCTATCTAATCTAACTTTCAGCCTAGTTCTAAGTACCAAAAGTGTATATTCTTACCCCAGGACATACAGCTGGTTCAGATTGTTTAAAAGTGGCAGAGAGTGAAATGAGAGGAACAACCGCTTTGGAGGTCCAACGCTCGGCGTCTTGTCCAGCGTGGATGGCATTTGTTCCAAAGTGTGAAAATGAACCTTCTTTACTACGTTCTCCCATCTTCAGGTGGCTTGATGATGCTAGGCTACGTATTGAACTAAAACGAACAGGTTTAGGCTTACTAGCGTTAAAATTAGCTGTCCTCCAAAGAACACTAATACTCCCTCGGTTGCTCACGAAGAGGAATGACGTTGCAAACATGCTGTGTGGATTTTAAAGGTAGCCTTTGTTGTTGTGTTTATCCATTCACAACGTTTACCTGTGTAGTACAGACGTTAATTACTATTTATATTATAATGGTAACTGTAAACGCACCGAATAACGACTACATTCAAACTATCAGATTTTGAGCTGCAAGCGAAACGGACGAATCAATTATTGATAAAATACTCCATTTATATATAAATTTTATTTTGATTGTGTTAATAAATCTATCTATAATAAACTAATGTTTTATCTACAGAAAGATATGTTGAACACCAAAATAAATTTACTTTGGTTTTATTTTGTATTCGTTTTGGATTGTAGTATGCCCTATTTTATAAGTTTTACCACAAATTTAAAATGGAAGATCTCAAATTGTTAAGAATGAAATACTGTACAATAGACACGCCCATCAAATTGCCCGGAAAGGGTTATAATAGTGGCGGCGGCAATGACAGAGTGCAAGTAGGGGAATCACCAGTTTACTTTCTCCTTCACAACAGCGGTGCGCCAGTGGGGGATTATTTTGATTGCCAATCCCTAATGCTGTGGTATAATTTTTTATTTTGGGGGGGGGGCATATTACTGTAAGCCATAAAAACTTTCCCCATTAACCCTAGCAGAGATCTTTTTTTTCCGTGAAGTCGACCTAGGCTCCAGTCGGCCCCTTGGTTCGGACCCCTCCGTCGGGAAATGTCAGACCCCTTGTTGACAAAATTCTGGCGCTGCATCACAATAAAAACACGTACAGTCGTAATATACTCTATTCACAATCTATTTAAAATACAGATAAAATAGACTACTGTAGGCTATAATTGTATTAGCCTATTTTAAGTATGTTGGAAAATGTTTTATTATTAGGCCCTATACTAAGATATGGTACACATTCTGTTAAAAGTTCGAGAATGTGTGGTGTCAACAAGTTTGATATGGGAGGTTGTCCCAAGAGAACGACTGTTGCTGGTCAGGAGAGGTCACACAGCTCTTATGATTTAGAATGGAAAAAAAATTGTGTTTTTAAACTAGGCTATTAAATGTAGGCATTGCTTTGATGTATCGTTTCGTTCTTATTCATACTTGCCCACTTTTAATGTTTATTATGATGTAGTTTTTTTTTAAATAATATTTCGTGAATTAGTTAAAACAATCATTTGTAAATGTGTTATATTAATGTTATATTTTTTTTTTATTATTGATGTTTTTATGTTTTGCAATGTGCATATGAGCAATTGATTTGGCTATAGGCCCTACTGCTCACTATAAATGCTTCCTATTATTTTTTATGAATTTTATCGTCTTTTATTGAATTTAAGTCTCTAAAAGCACATTTGGGGCATAAAAAAAGCCATAAAAACGATCTCCGTGAACCTTACCAGTGATTTTTTAATTCCGGAACCATGACCGAGGCTCTCAGAACATTGGTTCTGAAAGCCTTTTAATCTATATATATATTGGAATTCCTTCCAGTGGATGCTTAGTTTATTTTGTCATTCTGATCGGATTTTCTCTACTGTTCCGTTTTCCGTTTTAATTTTAAATTGTTTTGCATTATATGGCCGTTTGCTGTTTTATGGGTTTTTCCCATTTGCCTTTATATG